CCCATGTACCTTTCTATGTCTTTCTCATCCTCAATGGTGCCATATTGGTCACTCACATTTGGTACATTGCCCTTCTCTTCACCCAAATCAATACTTACCTCTATCTAACAGCCTTCCCTCCCTTCCCCTCCCCTCCCACGCCTGGTAACCAACAACAAAAAAATTTCCTTCTATAGATAAACCTGTCCTTAACTTTTACAATAATGGACTAATACAGTATTTGTTCTTTTGTGTTGACTTATTTCACTCAGCATAATGTCCTCCAAGTTCATCCATGTTATGCGGTGTTTTGCAGATTCTACGTTATTCTTTAGCTCACAACCTCTTTTTCAGGAGGAAGGGAGTGATTACTTTTCTCAACTCTGGAAGCAAAAAAACTCACAAGTTACTACAGGTGGCAGAAACATTTTTATTTTTTTTCAGAGCAGAGGCAGCGTTTACTGGTTGGCACCTGGGCCACAGCTGTCCCCCATTCCCAAGACAGGCCCAGCCTCATTCTGGGTCACAGATCTTGAGTCGAAGGTGCAAGTGAAGGTCACCATGTAAGGAAGCAAAGCTCTCTCCTTTCTCTGACCTCCCACAAACCCTCCTTGTAGTCAGGTTCCCACTTCCTTTCTTCACAGCCTTCGAGCCTTCCGGGGGCGGCAGCCATTGTGTGGGATGGGGGTGTTGTCTGTAATGGAGATCACCTCCAGGCCCCCCATGGTCAGTCCCTTGATGGCTGCCTGTAAAGAGCAGAGGGACAGGAGAATGATGGTCCCAGACAGGGCTCAGGGAGGGCTACGGGTAGAGTCAAGGAGGCTCACTAGCTTTGGGATCTATGATCCCAACCGTATTCCCTCAGGTCTCTCACAACAGTCTCCACCTAAACCTGTAACCAAGTTCTCAATGCTGCTTACCTCTCTAATTGCACTTGCCACTTTCCACCTTATGCTTCACAATCCAGGAACCGCAACTACTGTGGCCTTGGTACATCTGAAGCCTTATACTTCTGTAGTATTACTTATGCTGGGAGTCCCTGGGTTAAGTGCTTGACTTAAAAGGTTGGAGGTTCAAACACACCCAGAAGCACCTCAGAAGAAAGGCTTGGTGGTCTGCTTCTGAAAGATCACAGCCTGGGAAACATTACGGAGAAAAGTCCTACTCTGCACACATGGGGTTGCCACGAATTGGAACTGATTTGAGAGCAACTAACAACAACTTGTGCAGTTTCCTCTGCCTGGAATATCCTCTTCTCCTCTTTCAACTGGCAATACCTTATTATTCTTGAAAAAACCAGTAGAGATATCACGTCTTCAGAGAAGCTCCTGATCATTCCCCATGGGCTCCCAGCCACTCTGGAGCATGCTTGGCCACTGCTCTTGCTGGTCTATATGCAGGGACCTCTCTATGGTGGTTCACCAGAGGCCATTCTCCTACTCTTGGGCCTGGCACACAGCACGCACTAAGTGTCAGATGGAATGAACTAAACAACCTGGGTCTGCTTTGAGAAGCTGAGAGATTATGGGAATAAAGAAATTCCACACCAAGATGGCAATCCTCTACAGGGCATTTCCCTCTCTCCCCCACTCAGCTTTCATAGACCATTTCTCTACAAACTAAAGAAGAAAGCACATACACTGTGGAGAACCTGGTCACTTACCGAGCGTCCTGGTCCCAGGCCTTTCACCACCACTCGGATGTGAGTCACACCCTTCCCTGTAGCTTTCTAGAGAGAAGTAGCAAATGGTTAGTGTCCCAGAGAGAACCACAATATCCAATTGTCTTGTTCCTGCCATGTGGAACAAAAGGGTTACAGACTCCAGAGAAATGGCAGATACATACAGTGCCACAGAGCAGACATACAGGGAGGCAGAATACAGATACAAAGGGCAGATGGCTGCAATAAAGAACAGATAACCAGTAGAAGCCACAGAAATTGGAGAGTCATAGAATTAAAGTAGACTAAGCACTCCTCGGAAGGAAGATGGGGCAATCTACTTCCATGGTGATACTGCCTCAGAGTCAGGTCTGACTTGACGGCACATAACAACAACAAGTGGTGCAAAAAGTTAACACGCTCGGCTGTGGATGGAAGGGTTGGAGGTTTCAGTCCACCCTAAGACATCTCAGAAGACAGACCTGGTGATCTACTTTGGAAAAATCAGGCACAGAAAACACTACTGAGCACAGTTCTCTGACATGGGGTTGCCATGAGTCCGAATCCACATAAGGGCAATTCGTTATTAGTGGTAGTGGGCCCCTGTAGCCCACAACAGCACTGCCACCTAATGGAGATTTCTCAATATTGCTCAGGTTTATCCCAGGTGGATAAATGCAGAATTCCAGGGTCACGAGGAGGGTGCCCTGGACTTCAGGACTCAGCCTGAATACCACAGTGTTCGACTCTGAACAAATCACAAACACTGAGTATCATGTGGCTCTTGGAAATGCAGGGCCTTAACTGGTTCAAATTGGTTCAGTCATGCCAACGAAGCAAAACTGGAACAGACCTGAATTTGTAAAATGTACATGTACTGGAACAGTAACCGGAATGGGAAAAATTATGGGTTGAAGCCCTTGAATGAGAGATTCAGAAGAGGCATAATTAAGCCCTTTCGGGAGCCTGATGCAGGAGACTGGATTACTGCCAGGACTATGGAGTGACACACATTCAAAGTGGGGTGATTGGCCACCATCTTTGAGCAGGATAACACTGTTTCCAACTCTGCTGATCGAGAGATTCGGTTGCTATGCAAGGCACACAGTGCCATTATTTTCTAAGAGGGAGATTAAGTTTCTAGTAGGAGACTGATCTGTAATTTTTCCCATTCCATTTATTATCCTGGTTTACCCATATTTAAAAAATTCAGGTCTGTTCCGAATTTCACTTCACTGGCCATGACTCAACTGGGAAGAACTGGTTCAAAGTCCTGGGAAAATGTGGATAACACTGAGGGTCTTTTGAGGATTAGGAGCTCTGATAGCCCAGTGGTTGAAGCATTTGGCTGCTAATCAAAAGGTCATTGGTTCAAACCCACCAGCTGCTCCACCGGAGAAAGATGAGACAGACTGCTTCTGTAAAGATTTATAGCCTTGGAAACCCTATGGGGCAGTTCTTTTCTATCCTATAGGATCACTATGACTTGGAATTGACTCGATGGCAGTGGGTTTGGTTTGGTTTGATGATTAAAAGGAGCTCTGTTGGCACAGTGGTTAAGTGCTCAGCTGCTAATTGAAAGGTTAGTGGCTCAAAACCACCAGCTGCTCTGTGGGAGAAAGAGGTGGTAATCTGCTTCAGTCAAATGCTATGGGGTAGTTTTACTATGTCCTAAAGGGTTGCAGTGAAGTAAGAATTGGCCTGATGGCAACAGGTTTTGGCTTAGGGATTGCAGAAAATGAATAAAGTGTCTAACACACAGTATATGGTCAGTAAATATACTGGTAGCAGCACACCGTCAACTGGCTTCTAAAGAGCCCTGCAACAGTTCTCACTCAAACTGCTAATACATGAGCCTTCACCATAGCACAGCCACTCCTAGTAGAGTGTTATTACTGCCCTCTCAACTCCATCGGCTTTTAAGTAGAGGGGCTTTAGTTCTTAAACCTTCAGTGTCCTGGTTTTTCTATGTCCTGGAATGAACCAGCATATGCTTTACCTCTAATAAAGCCAAGAGAAAGAGAGAAAAAAAGCCTTTTCACATAAACCTTTTCAGGCCACCCAATGTCAGGGCATCTAACACAGGCTGATAAATAACCCACTGCTTCTGAACACTAGTTTAACGAGAATTCTCCTTTACAGTGATCAGCCATGCAGTGAACAGAACTCCCCAGAGAGGGGCCGGGAAGGATACCTACTTACCGCTGCTGCAGCAATGCCTGTGGTTTGTGCTGCGATGCCCGTGCCCTTCTTAGCATTTCGAAACCCCTCCGTGCCACAGGAAGCACGGGCCAGTGGCTGGTTTGTAGCAGAGACGACCTGGATCTGGGTGCTGTGAACAGAAATGGAGAAGCATATAGGATATAGCTACTTTTTCAAGGAGATAAAGACAGCTAACCTATTTCCTTATCAGCCTGAGTAGGGAGGATAAAGAAATCCAACTGCTTTCCCTTTAAGTTTATTTGATGGATGCTTTTAGAATCTTTGCAGCACTTCATCTGTGCCACATACCATAGCCCGAGACCACAAAGTCCTCTATTATTCTCTACACTGCTTCATGGACCAATGTGACACAACACTGACTGCCATCTCCAAGTGAGGCTGACCTGCAGAGTTGTCACGAATGTCAGCATGCTTCTATTGCCAACACATAATTGGGAACTCCCTTCAGCATCCATTTGAAAGTCTCATAAGAATGCCAGTCTTGTCACTGGTTTAATCTCATCATTCACATTTAGCTGTACAAAACAGAGGCCAGTACACAGTGGCCCAAGGCAAGAACAGTAAAGAGACATTTATTTGGAGGCTTATTTTCTAGTTAGTTTGTAATAAATCATACATTGTTAACTTTTATCTCTTATCATATTCATGTCATTCATTCTCTGTCCCCCAGTGCTAAGCAATTACTAATACTTAATAAACACCTTCATGGTGAGTCTTTCTGGCTCTAAGATACACCCTCAGCAACTCTTGAGCAGAACCAGGAACTACTATTCCCTAGGAAAGCAAAGAAATCTTATAAATATGCTACTCTCAACTTATTTCACATTTTTATTGAACTCAAACAAACTTTGAAAATACAGAAGGTGGTTTCCCAAAACAAGAAAGGGTGAGCCTGGGGTTCTCTCTGTCAGCACCTTCAGCCTCGACTATCCCGTCTCTCCTGGGAAGGGAAAACAGAGCCACCCTTGACCTGCCCGGGTGCTGTCTGCTTACTTGTTGTAGGATGCCTTGATGTGTGCGATTGGGATCTCCTCAAATTTCTTCCCTCCCCACCTCAGAGAGCTCTCTTGTCCTGGAATTGGAGGGTAAATGCTGCAATTAGAAGAGAATTTTACTTAAAATAGTCTTATTACTATTT